CCCAGAAGATTAACTCTGTGGAGCCTGGATGCCATTTAATTCCCAGCATGCTAAGTATTTATTCATTTCCCCCCTCTACTATAATTAGGAAGTAAATTAACTTCTTTTCACTAGCACTAAAATGGTTACAATCTCAGAGATCTGGATGCCTGCTGAATGGATACCTGTGTAAAAAGTCCTTATAGCCCTAACCAGTTTTGCCCAGTGGTTAAAGTGTCAGCCTGTGGACTGAAGGGTTGCAGGTTCAATTTCCGATCAAGGGCACATACTTGGGATGCAGGTTCGATCCCAGGCCCTGGTTGGGGCAAATGCAGGAGATAACCAATCGATGTCTCTTTCTCACATTGATGTTTCTCTCTCTCTCTCTCTCCCCCTCTCTCCCCCCCCCCCCCCCCCCCCCTCCCTCCCACACTCTCTAAAGAGCAATGAAAAATATCCTCAGGTGAGGATCGTTAAAAAGTCTGCTGGAGAGGCCGCATGAAGAAAGGAAGCCCTGAGACATTAAGAGGGAAAAAGGCTTCGTTGTCCCAATTGAACCTCCAAATAACTCTAACTCCAGACAGACCCAAGCAAGACCAACAGAAATTCCCAACTGAGCCCAATCTACCCAAAGAACAATGAAAGATAATAAACTGTTTTTTTAAGTCACTGAGTTTTGTTGTGTGGTTTGTTATACATCAACAGATAAAGGAAATGGTTCCTGTTCTTGTAGAACTTTCAAGCTGGTCACAACAGCGAAACTAAGTCCATGAAGTTAGCTAACAAGCCTAAAGTAATCACAGCTGTACTCAAAGGAACCTTGGCCACCAAAGCAAAACATCAAACAAGACATTTGGAAACAGACCTTTAATAATAAAACTCAGTGCAAACTTGCTCACAGTGTCTGTCCAAAGCATGAGATCTTGGTATTGGTCAGAGGGTCAATGTGAATTTAGAAAGACTTGCTACTCTTTCCTCTCTATCCCAATCAGGCTCTCCATCTTTCTGAAACACTTCTGCCTTGTATGCAGAAGGTAGTCCTAGAATTTGGGAAATTAAAGCTATTTGTGCTCCCTTCCTTATCAAGATGCAGGACCAGTTTTTTTTGCACAAATCACTACAAAGGCGTGCAGGAAAAATGAAGATAATATCCCATTCCCTTGGTATAGATCAAACTACTTTCGTATTATTCTACTTTCTAAAATAGAACCTTAGTGTGTCTGCAGTAAGTGACTAATGGAAGTAACCTGTACCAGCCCTACCTCAATAGCCATTTGTTATCCTCTCTTTACAAGGCACCTCACATTCTTTTGTACTTGGTTTACTCCAATTTTAAATGGTGAGATTTCAGCTACCCCATGGAGACTGACATCCAAAAAATGATACTAACAGACAAGAAAGAAAATAACCTGCAGGGAATATGTCATGGCAAAATAAGAGATTTTCTGTCTTGGTTTTATTAAATTTTTTTTTTTTTTTTTTTTGAGTAGAGTAATAATGAAAAAAGAGAAAAAAGAGCATGCATTTCTTGACCACCTAAACCAGTGGTTCTCAACCTTGGCTGCACATGAGAATCACCTGGGAATCTTTTTAAAACCCTGATTTCTGGGCCTCATCCTCCGGAAATTCTGTTTCTTTGTTACTAATGTTGTGGCCCCACCTCATAACAAAGAAACAGAATTTCCGGAGGATGAGGCCCAGAAATCAGGATTTTAAAAAGATTCCCAGGTGATTCTAATGTGCAGCCAAGGTTGAGAACCACTGACCTTAACTTATAAAAGCAGCTGTTTAACTCAGCGGTTGCCAACCAGTGGTCTGTGGACCACTGGTGGCCCGAGAGGTCTGAAAGGTTGGCAACAGCTGGTTTAACTTATTTAATCCTCACACACACTTTTTTAAAAATCCTCACCCAAGTATATGTTTACTGACTTTACGGGGGAGGGGGAGGAATGAGGGAGGGGGAGAGAGAATCACAGAAGTGAGAAACACTGATCGGCTGTGCCCCCTCAACTTCCCCACATGCACCCAGACCAGGAATTGAACCCAGGTATATGCCCCAACTGGGAATCGAACCTGCAACCCTTTTGGTACATGAGATGATGCTCCAACCAACTGAGCAACTGGGACGGTCCAAATACACAATTTTACAATTGAGGAAGTTGAGGTTTAGAGAGGCTACTTAACCTGCCCAAGGTTACACAACAGAGCCAGATGAATGAATAAAGAAAATGTGGTATAGCCCTAACTGGTTTGGCTCAGTGGCTAGAGCATCTGCCTGCAGACTGAAGGGTCCCGGGTTCGATTCCAGTCAAGGGCACGTACCTAGGTTGCAGGCTAGTTACATGTGGGAGGCAACCAATCTATGTGTCTCTCTCACATCGATGTTTCTCTCTCTCTGTCTCTCCCTCTCCCTTCCACTCTCATAAAAAAGAAAATCCTGCCCTAACCGGTTTGGCTCAGTGGATAGAGCGTCAGTCTGAGGACTGGGGGGTCCCGGGTTCGATTCTGGTCAAGGGCATGTACCTTGGTTGCGGGCACATCCCCAGTAGGGGGTGTTCAAGAGGCAGCTGATTGATGTTTCTCTCTCATCAATGTTTCTAACTCTCTATCTCTCTCCCTTCCTCTCTGTAAAAAATCAATAAAATATATTTTTTAAAAAAGAAAATCCTGTCATATGATACAACATAGATGAGCCTTGAGAACATTATACTAAATGAAATAAGCCAATCACACAAAAACATAGGCACGATTCCACTTACATGAAGTATCTAAAGTAATCAAACTCATCCTATATAATAAAAGGCTAATATGCAAATCGACCAAACAGCAGAATGATGGGTCACTATGACGTGCACTGACCACCAGGGGGCAGACGCTCAATGCAGGAGCTGCCCTCTGGTAGTCAGTGTGCTCCCCCCTGTGGAAGTGCCGCTCAGCCAGAAGGTGGGCTCACGGCTGGCAAGCGCAGCAGCGGTGGTGGGAGCCTCTCCCGCCTCTGCAGCAGCGCTAAGGACCCCTCAGGGTCCCGGACTGAGAGAGGGCGCAGGCCGGGCTGAGGGACACCACCCCTCAGTGCACGAATGTCGTGCACCGTGCCTCTAGTAGAAAAAGAAAACAGAATGGTGGTTGCCAGGGGACAGGGGCAGGAAAATGAATTGTTCAATGAATACAGTGTTTCACTAATGCAAAAAGCAAAAGTTCCAGAGATCTGTTATACAACTATATGCGTATACTTAATAATACTGTACATTTAAAAATTGTTAAGAGGGTAAATTTGTTTTGTTTTTAAATCACAATAAAAAAAAATAATGTAGTCCATGGGCCTGCCTTATGCATGTGCAGCTGTCGGGCAAGCCATTGGGATGGGGCTAGGCACGCAGCCTGTTTTCTTTGACCTGGACAACATGCTCATTAACATGGCCCCAGCAAGTAGAAAAGATAGTAAAGCCCTTACAATCAAAATACCATTCATTACAAAAAAGAGACTGGAATCATTTGTGACAAAGTTCAAGTTAAACTCAGCAAGGAATGTTTTAATCTTCCCAATGCATGCATTACTGATCTAAGGACTTCACACTGGGAAGAAGCAATTCAAGAAACAAAGGGTAGTGTAGCCAATAGGAAATTGGCTGAAGAATGTTATTTTCTGTGGAAATCTACACACTTACAGAATATGACTCTAGCAGAAGATGTCAACATCATGCTCACTGAACTTCGAAAGAAGGTCTGCCTTTTATTACCAAACTAGAGGCCCGGTGCACGAAATCTGTACACTGAGGGGGGGGGTTGTCCCTCAGCCCAGCCTGCACCCTCTCCAATCTGGGACATCCCTCTCACAATCTGGGACTGCTGGCTCTCAACCGCTCGCCTGCCTGCCTGCCTGCCTGATTGCCCCTAACCACTTCTGCCTGCCAGCATGATCACCCCCTAACCTCTCCCCTGCCGGCCCGATCGCCCCCAACTGCTCTCCCCTGCCTGCCCGGTCCCCCACAACTGCCCTCCCCTGCTGGCATGGTCCCCTCCCAACTGCCCTCCCCTGCTGGCCTAATTGCCCACAACTGCCCTCCCCTGCCAGCCATCTTGTGACTGTTAGTGCCGCCATTTTTTAGGGTGTGGCAGTCAATTAGCATATTCCCTCTTTATTAGATAGGATGGAGACAGACAGACCCAGAGGGAGAAGACAGAAGTTTGTGCCTCAGTCCTGTTTTGATGCTACTATTGTAGATGGAGAACAGAAAGAAGAGAAACCAGCCCTTCCATGTTTTATTACTGCTCTGATCTCCTTGGAGTACAGCCTAGGACTGTGTGATGGTTGGCGATACACAAGAAACTGATATAGAAGGAGGCCTCAATGCAGGGCTGAAAGCAACAGTCTGGACAAATAAAGATGGAATAGTGCCACTGAAGTCATCGCCCATGCCACATTATATGGTTTCTTCTGAGCTACAATTATCTGATCTCTTACAAAATACAGACTGCAAAGTCAGTACATCACCTTAAAGCAATTAAAAGGGCAGGTTATATACTTTACAGGATCTGAACTAAGAAAAGTTAAGGCATTCCATATACTATGACCCAGTTCTAAGAATAATTTCACTTATGATTTAATAGCCAACAAACAATTGACTGGTATTTATATCTGGAAATCTAGAATAAATGAATATGTTACTTTTAGTAGTGTGATTGAGAAAACTTGAAGAAATATACTATTTGTTATTAAAAATATGTTATCTGTAACTTGAAGTTTTTAAAAATTAGTTTTATTCATCTTTTAGCATCTTGAATCCTAGAAGATACCAAGCAGGATCATTTATTCATGGGTGCACAAATACAGGTTTTATGAACTGGCTTAAAAATAAGATTAATTTTTAAAAATCGACATTTTAGAACATATGTAATAGAAGTTTACTAGAGCAACTGGATCTGGTTAATATGAAATATGTACTATGTCACATGCAAATCAAGGCATTTCATAGTGATATTATTTTGTATGTTTTTGAAAATATACATACCATTTTTTTCCTACTTTAAATGTATACTTTCTTTCATGAATTTAATTTTTCTTCATTATCTTATGGGGGGAGGGCTCCAATTTTCCCATGGTGTAAACATGACAAATAAATTCCTCCAATAAAAAAAAAATGTTAAAATCAGCATGTCGTGCTCCTTTCCATGACATTACCACATCTCTCCAGAGTGAGCTTGTAGTGTCCTGTTCGTCTTTCCCTCTTATGGAAGCATTTTTACTATCTTTTCCCAAGCACACAATGGAGTTGAGGGGACTAGACTGCCTTGATGAAGATAAGCCACAAAAAGTTATTTTCCTTTTGTAGATACATCAGAGTGGAATTGTCTTGGTACAGCCTAAACAGGCATCTCTACCCCTACCTCCATCTATTCTCTGACTGAATAGTTTCACCCATATAATGAAAGCTAACAGAAAATCACATTTTGCTATGAACCATTTTCAGGGTGCCATTTAAATATTTGACTGGCTCTTCTTGATGTTACCATCTGCCATAAATCCCTGTTCTTCAGATTTAGGAAAATATATTATTGTTCCACAAATTTCTGTAGCCAATTCAGGGTTCACTTTGAGCTTACTAATTAATTACTCCATTGCAAAGAATCTTGTGATTAGAAAAATTTCTCTAGATAGTCACATGATTTCACCAATTTTAGAGTAAAATATTTAATTAAGGAAACAAGAAATAATCACTTGGGTTGTTCTTTGGTGGGTATTTTTTTTAACTTTTGAATAAAAAACTATCAAAGTAAAATAATAGACTCTGTTAGGATTTGTATGACTTTTTCAAGTATCCTATTATTCTGTTACTTAGATTCTAGATTATACCTCTCCATGAACCTATTTCTTTAGCCAATTATTTCCTGACTACTACCAGGAACAGAATTTTCTGCCATTGTACAAAAGCCCTGTTGTGTTACTTCTCTTGATTTTTAAAAATGTGACTGTGCTATTGACTGTCCCAAGGTTGCTATAAAGCTAAACATTTGTGAACAGAGTATGTTTATGTGTAGTTCCAGGTATGGTACATATATGACCTCAATTATATTTTAGCTACTTAAATTGTTAAGTTGAAGGATCTTGATAGGAAAATAATTATGCGCACAATTTCTCTAATACAGCGGTTCTCAACCTGTGGGTCGCGACCCCTTTGGCGGTCAAACAACCCTTTCACAGGGGTCACCTAAGACCATCCTGCATATCAGATATTTACATTATGATTCATAACAGTAGCAACATTACAGTTATGAAGTAGCAACAAAAATAATTTTATGGTTGGGTCACAACATGAGGAACTGTATTTAAAGGGCCAGAAGGTTGAGAACCACTGCTAATAGATGATCTGTGATACTGAGGCTTTGTCCTTTAAGCTAACTCACAGATAGATGAAGGCAGCATCACATCATTACCCTAACTGGAAAAGGCTCATCACTCGTAGATCACAGTGGCAGATCTCAACAAGATAGTTCCCAGGATGTTAAGTGAGCAGTTCTTCAACAAAAGTGACCTGGGGAATGGGAAATTAAATAATTGCGTTTCCCTGTCTTCACAGTTGTATTCTGTACAGTGCAGTAATGCAGTATTACTTTCCATCTACACCTGTCCTCAGGAAGGACTTTGTGGTTTTCTACCTTCTGAATGGAATGTTACAGACGATACTGAGAAATCTTGGAATAGACCTATGGTTTTATTAAGGTTTTTGCTTTAGAATAATATTCCTTAAAATGAAAAGGGAAAAACAAAAGGAAAAGAAAAATGCAAATGGGTTTTATTTGCCATCAGAACAAAGAAAAGAAAGGATATAAGGTATTTTGCTAGGCGAAATGATCCAAAGTGATAGCAGGGAGATAGAGGAAAACTGAGAAATGTATGTGAACATGTGTAGGGGAGGAAAAAATAAAAGAGACAAAAAGTTTGACACTCAAACCCTCTGATGCAGCAAAGGAAAGGGGCACATGTTATTAACAAACTGCAATTCTCTTTCTATAACAAGGCCATACTTTCAGTCTTTTATTCCTTTATCATTACAATTTCCTACTCCTGCTCTAAATTGACTTTTCATTTTCTAGCAGGTGACACTCAAATCAAGCATCCTTTTCACTGGAACCCACCCTTCTGTCCAAGACACTCTGCTCACAGGGAGATATTCTCCAATATTTTATTTCACATAGTTCATCATTAAAGGATGGTTGCTTTCGCCCTGATCGGTTTGGCTCAGTGGATAGAGCATCGGCCTGTGGACTGAGGGGGTCCCGGGTTCGATTCCGGTCAAGGGCATGTACCTTGGTTGCAGGCACATCCCCAGTGGGAGGTGTGCAGGAGGCAGCTGATCGATGTTTCTCTCTCATCGATGTTTCTAACTCTCTATCTCTCCCCCTTCCTCTCTGTAAAAAATCAATAAAAT